TTAAAGACGCTGCCTATAGGGCCACGCTGTGATCGAGCGCAACGCGACCGTTACAGGTAACTGAGGAAGGAAGCGAGACGTATTTGCCGCAATAAGAAGAGAGAGGCCGAAATACGTAAGTGCGAAGAGCTTGCAATGCTAGCCGACAGGAAAAATTCCCGAAAATTTTACCAGAGGGTTAGGCGACTTATGGAAGGTTTCAAGACCAGGGCGAACTCCTGTAATAACAACAATGGCGACCTAGTGACCAATGTCCAGAATGTACTGAAATTATGGAGGGAAAACTTTTCCACCCTACTGAATGGTAGCAGCGCTGTAATTAGTGGAGGTACGAATAGCGATAGCGCGCTTGAAAACAACAAAACTGCTGGAGCTGATAGTCTGCCAGCTGAGCTATTAAAGTACGGTGGCGAGGAGTTGATAAGGTGTATGCATCAACTCTTATGCAGAATATAGTCAGATGAACGCATGCACGACGACTGGGATTTGAGTGTGCTCTGGCCAATCCACAAGAAAGGCGATCCCGCCATTCGCGCCAACTACCGCGGAATCAGCCTTCTAATCATAGGTTGTAAGGTCTTATCGAGTGTATTGTGCGGAAGACTGAAGCCCACTGTCAACGAACTGATCGGACCTTATCTGTGTGGCTGTAGGCCTGGAAAATCCAACATAGATCAGGTATTCACAACACGCCAAATCTTGGAAAAGACCCGCGACAAGGGGATCGGCACAAACCATCTATTTGATTTCAAAGCCGCTTTCAAAAGCACAAAGAGAAGTTGTCTTTATGCCCCGGTGTCTGAACTTGATATCCCGGGAAACTAATACGTCTGTGTAAAATGATGTTGAGCAATATCAGCGAGCTCCATCAGAATAGGGAAGGACCCCTCCGAGCCGTTTGATACCAAACGAGGTTTAAGGCAAGGTGACTGCCTCTCGTGTGATTTCTTTAATCTGATGTTGGAGTAGATAATAAGAGCTGCAGAACTGAAACGCTCAGGCACAATACTTTACAAGAGCCTAGAATTGCTGGTATATGCCGACGACATCGATATTATCGGTAAAAACAAGGGCTACGTCTGTTCTGCCTTCTCGGGATTGGATAGAATGGGCTGGTGGTGAACGAGGACAAAACGAAGTATCTCCTGCCATCACACAAACAGTCACAGCATACGCGTCTTTGCACCCACGTCACTGTTGAGAGTTACAAGTTTGAAAAAGCAGACGACTTCGTTTATTTGGGAACTGGCATTAACACCAATAATAATGTCAGCCTTGAACTCCAACGGAGAATCACTCTTGCCAACAAGTGCTACTTTGGACTGAGTAGACAATTGAGAAGTAAAGTCCTCTCTCGTCGTACAAAGATCACACTCTATAAGTCACTCATCATGCCTGTGCTGGTGTATGGCGCGGAGGCATGGACTATGAAAACATCTGATGAAGCGGCTCTTGGAGTTTTCGAGAGAAAGATTCTGCGAAAGTTTTACGGACCTTTACGCGTTGGCGATGGCGAACACCGCAGACGATTTAACGATGATCTGTATGAGCTTTACAACGATGTAGACATAGTGCAGCGAGTTAAAATTCAGCGGCTCCGCTGGCTTGGCCATGTCGTTCGAAAGGACAGAAACGCTCCTGCTCTGAAAATATTCAACGCCAGCAGCGGTGCTTGTAACAGAGGAAGGGGAAGGCCTCCTCTGCGTTGGAAAGACCAGGTGGAGAAGGACTTGGCTTCACTTGGCATTTCCAATTGGCGTCAGTTAGCACAGAAGAGTAATGACTGGCGTGCGCCAAAACCGCTTAGGTGGTTACAGCGCCAATAAAGAAGAAGAAGAAATAAATGCTCTGTGCACAGTTTTAGCGAATTTCAAAAATGCCAAATTTTGAGTTGTGCCTCTTTGGAAGATGGTGTGCGATATGTACATATCAGTGATGTGGCGAATATTTGTGTTCGCATTCGTTATTCGAATGATTCGCATCATTTTACTTATTCGCTTCCACATTCGCATTCGCATCAAATGATACGAATATTTTTCGAATGCGAATGTGTACATGGGCACAGTGCGCAGTTAACGACCACTAAGCATACAATCGCATATGTTCAAGGTTGCTCCATTTTAACGCTCAGTTTTTTTACAGGCAAAACAACCCTTGTACGCTGTTGCATTTTGTAGAAAATACAAATATGTAGATCTAACTGGGCGCCCTCAAATGTGTTCTCATTTTGAACCGACTTCACTAAAAGGAGGAGGTTATCAGTTCGTCGGAATATTTATTTTTTTGTTTTACCGCATAACTTTGGACTAGGGCTGATGATTTCACCCGGGTAATGAGCTACCCGGGTATCCGGGTAGCGGGTGAAGCCCTACCCGGGTATTGAATTACCCGGGTAGCCCGGGTACCCGGGTATTTTATAACCCGGGTAGACCCGGGTAGACCGGGTACCCGGGCAGTATGGTAATTACCCGGGTACCCGGGCACCCGAAAAAATGAGGAGAGGTGAAAATTAAACGCATTTACGATCATATAACGCAAACGAACGTACATAGGGAAAATCTATAAGAATCTTCCGTACCATATGGGGAAATATTATAATATACAACACATACATTGCACTTGACAAATCCGTCATTCATCACACAAGCGTACTTCCAAACCCAGCTTGTTTTAGGCATGTCTAAAATATTAATATTTACGAAGTTGGTAATGCACGTACAGATATCGGATCGGTAACAAATAAAATTATTGAGACACACCCACCTGCGAATCTAAACGATGACCGACAGTTGAGGCAATTTTTGTGTTGGAATGAAAAAAATTTTAAAATTTCTTCCACAATTATTTCACAACAATACGTTCATCAACCTACTTCTCGTATTAAGGAAACTTCATTAAATAATTGTGATTTTAAAAGCTTTAAATATTATGAGAAAAGAAACTATAATTTGAACAAGCTGATACAATAAAAGTACAAAATCTTTAGGTGAATGAATAGCATAAGGCTTTGTTACCTTACTTTTTGTACCAGAAGTGGCCTACCACAGGGTTTAGTTCTTATATAATTCCCAATGAGAACGTTCTCGTCAGTTTTGTTCTCATTTTGGTTTTGGTTTTGACGCGTTCTTGGGAACAAAACTACGACAATGGCATTTAGTTTCGATCATACATTTCGTTCTCAGTCCCTGTTTTAAAATATTAATATTTAATATTCTTTAAAATATACATACATACATACATATGTACACATGCATGTATGTATATGCATTTACAAAAATTAGAAGTTTGAATTTAAGTACAGAAACTAATGTTTTAATTTACTTTTCTTGTCTCCGTCTACTCTGGAAAGCGGTTAGGTGTACATAGTCGCGTACACTCTAGACATAAAAAAATAATTATAAAAAAAAATTTTCTCACTGAAAAAATATTTATCCTCACCAAAAAGATTATACAAGAAGCTTTATGTCGCATTACCCGGGTGTTTTTCGTTTAACCGGCACCAACATATGTATATTACCCGGGTACCCGGGCAAATCGGGTAATACCCGACTACCCGGGTAATAAAAGCCCCGGGTAATACCCGGGTAACCGGGTACCCGGGTATCATCAGCCCTACTTTGGACCACGTTAACCGATTTCGATAATTCTTCATCGGAAAGGTGGTACCTCAGGGGGGTCCCATACTAATTAGATCCGATAATTGGATCGTGAAGAAATTAACGATAAGCTTAAATTTTTATATGAGAATTGAAGTCGGCATTTTTTTTGCTTAAAAATTACTTGTTTGTTAACGTTTGCACTTTAACCTCTTTTTCTGATGACCTCTAAAATATTTCGGTGCTATTCATATTTTACGTAGTTGTATTAATAGTTACATATTTTAGTTAATTTTTGTAATTCATTCGTCGAAAGTGAGCAATTGTTCTGTGCAGTCAGTCTTATATACAAGTTTCTAAGAAATCGCAGAAAAGAAGGCAGTAAAATTACTTTTTCTGAAATGTAATATGCCTCTTTTCAATTTGGACCACTAGATTAAAACAGTGTAACTATAGGTTAAGCACTGGTTCAATGTTTTAATAACACGGTTCAACAAAATATGGTCGTATTTTGTCTCAAAAACGGGGCCAACCTAATCTTATAGATTTTTTTTTATGCTAATTTGAAGTGCATTTACAAAATTTTTCTAGCACGTATATTTGAGAAAAAAGTAGAAGTCCGAAAAATGGTAAACATGGCAAATTAAAAAAAAAAAAAAATAAAAAAATTGAATAGAATTTGGACGTAGTTTTTTCGAGGAAAAAATCAACGTATTAATGAAAATTCAATTCGTCTGATGGATTCTATCTCATGTCGATGAGTTAATTAGAAATTAGTGAAGAATTAAAAAAACTCAGTTCTTCAATAGCATGCACTTCCACAAATACGAAAATCTTAATCTATGAATTAATTTTAAAAACAAAGTAATTTCATGAATTAACTTTAAAAAAATCAGTATCCCAGATTCATCAGTATCCAATCTTTTGTCTCCTAGATCTTTCCTCAAACATTTTTTTTGTGGATAGCGTTATCATCGCTTTTCAAAGTCCAGCAATAGTCAGCAGGCATGTGGAGGTTTGGTTTCCTATCATACTACTTTTCTATAGTGGTTATGTTCTGGTGAAATCTTTCGCCATGTTCATTTCTGGTGTTTTTTTTTTTTAATTTGACTCCTTCCTGCTCAATCCATCGACATGAGGTAGGATCCATCAGTCGATTTGGATTTTCATTAATACGTGTTTTTTCTTCGGAAAAATTACGTCTAAATTATATTTTAATTTTTTTTTTTAATTTACCATTTTTCGACTCTTCAACAGTTTTTTTTTTCTGAAAAGCTGGACATGCTAGAAAAATTTTGTAAATGCATTCGCAAATGTAAAAAATATGACATTCGAAACATCTCTAGTACATATGTATGTATGTTATGCATTAGATTGCTATGTAATTTACTTTATAATACTTACACTAAAAGCACAGCAGCTGCCGCAGCTGCGGCTGAAACAGCAGCGGTTGCATAAGCAGTGTGGCCATAGCGCTGTGACTGCTGATGCTGTTACGTAGCCGCAGCGGCTGTGGCGGATGGTGTCAAACTCGAAGCAGTTGCTGCAGGTGACAATGTTTCGCGGATGGTACTAGCTGGACATGCCGGTTTTGATGGACTGGGTGGCGTACGACTTAAAGCAGGTGGCTCCGGCGATGGCGGTCGTATCGAAGCCGTCAAATGCGAGAAATGCGATGCTAGTAATCCGTTGCCACCAATGGTAATCGGGTAAGGAAAATAAGTGGGTGGCCCGTTTACTAACGCTGCAGGTGGGTAGTAGTTATAGTACAGTTGCCTATCCATCAATTGTAGCGATATGGTTTGATTCCAAATACGCTTTGCTGTAAGATACACGTATAAGTTGTAATTAGCGAATAGTGCTAAAATAAGTACAGTATCTTTTTTCAATATTTATATCCAACGACAATTTAAATATAATCGGTTAATTGCAAGAATTGTTTAAGGATTAGTACTAATTCACACAATTGGATGTTGTTGATTTGAGTGTAAATATAATTTTTGATTATACACATTAAAGTCGACAAAAATGCACAGATAGGTAAATATTTAGAAGTTTTTCGCTACCACAATTTAAAAGCTCCTAAACGGGTTTTAAGGTTATGATAATGCGAAGCGTTACCAAGGGAAAGTAATATATCCCGCGCCTCGCGAAAATGTTTGATTCTGAAATTCTGCCTACATGTCTCTTTTCGGTATTTCTTTTAAAGAACATATCGCACACCTAGATCTAAAATGATCTAACACAAAATTCATTGCGCCAAATTTAACTGCTCAAGACAATTAATACAAAAACAGCAATTAATACAAAAACAGGCATAACAGTAGTTTTTTAGTTAATATATATAATCACTAGCGGTACCCCGGTGTCTATACCAAATATTGAAAAATATTGAAAAATTAATGAAAAATCCTGGAATTTTTCTATGTGAAAATTTATTATCTGTTT